AGGACACCCAAATAGTACCCAGTATGTTACTTGTCTTTGGTATATTTCTATACAATTAATAAGTATATCTCTTTGTATTATCATGGTCATGACTTCGCAGGCGTGCACCGCACAGCCGGGAATAAATTCTGTATTTATTTATTTATGTTCACTGTTATAGCAAGCATCTCGGATTTTGGCACATTCTTGATCCCTCACTGTTATGTTAACGTGGTCCTACCTGTAAAGGCCTACCTCGCGTTGTAGAAAGTAAAACTTTAATTAATTACCGGTGACAGCGGTATAGCAATGCCTTGGTGTCGGATGCTCGACGGATGAAAGCCCCTTAACATCGTGGTATGTACTAGGCCCCGTCCGGTAACGGCGACCGCCAGTTGGCTTCACACAAAATCTGTGAGTGTGCAGGGACTGCCTAATATTGTGTGACTTCAATATGCCTAGTAATGACTGGGAGGTTTTCCACTGCGGACGCTCCTTAGTCATTTGATGCTGGTGTTTTTGGAGCAGACCTTGATGCCAACCTATCTCGTTACGTCTCCAAGCTCCTCAGAATACTCAAAAGCTAGACACCCCAGTATTTGATTTGGTGCTCTCACCTGTACCTTCTGACAGCTCTGGGTTGGCCGCTCTCCCACCGATGGTGATCGTGCTGACTGCGCTTTCCTCTACCTGGACGCGACGACTTGGCCGTCAAGACTGAAGGGTGTACCGCCGAACCTTCTGGCATTCCAATTCTAACTGCCTAAGCCTTGCTATCAAGTTGGACTGGAATACCCCGAAAATGCTTGACCTCGATAGTGTATGGACACTTCTGCGCTTTAAAATGAACCAGCCCATTAAACGAGTGGTCCAAATCTCATGTAAAAGGGCAGCACGAGGGCTTCTAGTTGACTTTATCGGGAAGTACGGCTGCTAAAGAATCAGCGAGGCAACTAGACGACAGCTGCAAATCTGCTAAAGTGGCCACGGACTATCCAAACTACCAGAGGCCGAAGCACTTAGGCACTACGAAAAAGGGGGAGAAGTAGCAAGATTATGGGCAGATTACAGGAGCAGTAGAGTCTGGCAGCACAGGCTTTGTCCAGATCTTAAAAGCTCTACGCTTATATTAACAAAAGGACCAAAGTCGGCTGTGACATAACCGCTTTGTCCTCCAATAAAACAGCTTCCGTTCCATACGAAGACGGCGGGGAAGCCGATCCGTTAGCTCGGCATTATTCATCCGTTTACGCGTTGGGGACCCACCGTTCAACCATCTCGATGCTTCGGATCTCAAGCTTCTTGAGGATATAGAACTCAACGTGGAGACGGTTGCGCAAATGCTGCTCGAGTTAGCGACTAACTCGGCACCTGGCCCTGACGGGTTGCAGCCCATCTTTCTCAAGACCGTGGCAGAGTACATTGCCCCACCCGTTGCCAGATTTTTCAGCTCTCTGTAGAAGCTGGGCACTTGCCCTCCAACTGCATACTGGGAATAGTGATGCCAAAGCACAAGGTTGGAAACCATGTTGATCGCACAAGCTAGCGCCTAATCTATGGGAGATCGATAAGTTCCAAGGTCAGGAGAATAGCAGACGCGCTGTACAGAAACTCTGTACTGTCCTGAGTATTACCTCCACTACACAGAACGGCTTTAAGAATGGACGCTACTGCACTACTAGTAACGAGGGAAAAGGAGTTAGCTTAATAAATGCAGCAAACGCTTGGGGCTTATCTTCGTTGACTTTTGCAAGGCGTTTGATAAGGTCCCACATCAGCGATTGCTGTATAAGCCCCGGGAAATTGGTGTAAGTGGAGGCCTCTCCTCTTATATTGTTTACTTCTTGAGAGACAGAACTATGCAGGTGCGGGTGAATGAAACCTTTTCTCAGCCAGTGCTAATCACCAGCGGTCTCGTAATGATTTGTCCTCGGACCTGAACTTTTCAAGCAGTTCATCAACAACCTTCCTGAAACGCTTCCACCCGAATGCCTGATTTATGCTGATGACCACAAGCTTTGGTCGGAGGTCTCGGACGTCGATACTGCTAATAAACTGGGGCCATGCTGCATGTACTACAGGACTGTCGACCAACTGTTGTCTAACTATCAATTATGTCACGTGCCGTGTCTTCCCGATTGGCGTGTCTGATCCATTCGGCACCGACTTATTGGGGGTTTCCTCCTCAATTATGGCGCCCGGGAGAATGACCTAGGTGTACTAACTGAATCGGACTTATAAACCACCCTAAGGAGAGTGGTCGCTGCTAATAAGGTTTTGCGAACCATCAGAAGATAATTCGCTCGAATGGTACCAAATTTCTTCAGGCTACGATCCAGCTCTCAAGTACGACTTATTCCCGAGCACTGTCTGCCGGCTCCGTTTCCGCTTCAAGGTTGGAATTTCCCCTAATAGAGGGGCTCAGAGACGAGGCTCAAAGTTTGTCTTCGGCGTTCGGGGTTTCCTTACGCACTTCGACTCCAAGAGATGAACCTCTTATCACTTAACTACCGTCGCCGCCGTGAACACCTCATCGCCACCAGGCACTTACTAAGAGCCGAATTTGGAAATGAACTGCGACAGTTTTCCAACTCAACGTAGAAGGTCCAGAAATTAGCCACACTTGGGAAGTATTTACTCCGAGCATGCTCAGAGTCCGCTCCGCCACCGCCCTTACTACTCCGTTGGTAAACGACTGGAACCGCCTTCCGGAAACGGTGGTCAGCGCACAGACTGAGGAAGTTTCAAGCGGTATGGGGCTTCCCACCGACGCCAAAAGCCTGGACAGCACAGGTTCTCTGCGACTTTCCTGGTCCCTTGTGCACTGTTGGGTCGCTAAGGCCCAATCGCTTCTCATGATGATTTGGAGGCGATGAGGCTAATAAGCGAATTCCCTACTGCCTTCAACAAAACAATGAACTCAACGTACAATAAAAGTCATCACACCACGACAAGCACCTATCCCATAATGAATAGGAATCGATGGGGCTGACAAGGATTCTCCCCTCTGCTCGCTACAACCCTATGAATCCAATGAATAAATGCATTGTTAAAACTAGGGCCGGGACAGTAATTAAGCATGTTGTGACATAACCGGTCGCGCCTGCCTTGAGGGGAGGGATGAGTGTATGCGGGTAGTGCGTATCGTTTCACTCAACCAAGCTGTCCAGATTGGCGTCCCGCAGTGCTCGGCACTGGGTACATTGTAGTTCGCGACCTGTGTAAATGACTTGCCAGGAGATCTAGGCGTGTCATCACTTATGTTTGTGGCGACCTTAAGCTCTGGAATATTGCAGACATGTCGGGGTCCTGAGGCAATTGAGGGTGCACTGGATAGGCTCTGGGAATGGTCTACCTTACGGTAGATGCCCATACATAGGGCCAAGTGCTGTGTTCTCCAAACCGCAGCTGCCAATGCTCCCACCCGATACGTTGTCAGCAGTGATGAACTACCAGTTGTCACTCCGCAGGTTGCTTTAGAGGTCGTACATTCAACAACAATTCATTTTCGCTTCAATTGGAAGAATGCTACTTGTCGGGGGTTTCGTATGCTGTGGATCATCCGCCGCGCTTTCGGAATCCTAACGGCCAATTTGTTTGCGAAGCTCTTCTCGGCATTCGTCCTACCCCACCTAGAATACTGTATCCAGGCTTGTCCACCATGTCTTAACCGAGAAAAAATGACCTTGAAGAGGGCGTTACGAGTGGGCACTCAGTTAGTGCAGCGTCTACGGGGACAGACGTATCCCGAAAGATTGCTTGGTTTGGGGATGTACTCAATGCGCTATCGAAGGACAAGTGTGGACCTGATTCTCATCGTATTTTGACGGGCAAAATCGGCCCGGATTTGTCAGAGCTATTTAGTCCCGACACGTTACCTAAGCTCCGCGCTCACCCACTGAAACTGCATAAAGCACGGTCCGGTAGGAGTATGACAAAAACCCGTCTGGCACGCCGAGTTATAGACTACTGAAATTTGCTTCCAGATCACGTGGTTAGGTGACCTACGGTTAAGGTTTGCACGCCAGCACGATGCGCTTGGGTGGCAACACATACCTTTCCATTTTCTTAACTGACTCCCCTTCACTTTTCTACTACTTCGTAGCTCTTTTCACTTTCACTTGCCTATTGCGTTTACTTTTTTTCTTTCTTACTTCACGTAACCGGCCCAGCAGCGTCTGTTAGGGCAAGAAACTTGGGCATTAATTGGTTGGACATGGTGTGATACGGCTTTGTTTTAGATCCATCGTATTTCACATTCTGCCAACGCCTGGTTCAACGACCCGCTGAAGGAGGACACTCTAGGGATAATCCTATCGTTCCAGTCCCACTTGAACTTGAACTTATATTAGTTTTAGTTGCTAGAGAAAAAGTCAAATTTTGGAGCTCAGACAAAAGCATTTGTACGCCAGCCATTTTATGAACTGCAGTTCTTATCGTCCATTTAACTGGTTGGGTTGTTTAACACGCCCTTCCCTTCGACCTTAAGCTGATCTGTCGCTGTACTGTCATTCTCTCCCCTCCCTCCACCCGATGGCGAAGGTCAACATATGTAACGTTGAAGTGCTTGGGAATCCTGCTTCTTTCTTCGATCCATTTAAGTTTCAGATAACGTTTGAGTGTTACGAACCGCTTGATGATGGTAAGTGCACAAATGCCTCTTCCTTAGTCCTTTCATCGATTTCGTTGCGTTATCTCGATGCATTATTTATTTGTCCCACTTTCCCTTAGTTTTATATGTCATTAACTACTAAAGCTAAGTAATTTTAATGGCTTTTATGATTACCCAATAACCTATAGGGTATTTTCTTCATGTACTGAAATATGCCAGTTCTTCCTTGAGGGAATCCGTGATATCACGTATGGACATGTGCTACCTGGTAGCATATGCTACCACCGGTGGGTGAACTCCGATTTCTGACCGATTCCGGATTAAAATCAGTATGTAGATAACGATGACACGATACCGTTAACAGCTTAGAACGTGCAGGGGGTTCTCGGATTAATGGTGCGTTCAGGTGTCTACGTGAATAATACGGCTTCGAAGGATTCACCAACTCTTGGGGCGGCGCCTGAAGATGATAAACATCCTTACGGTATTTTGTATTTAGGTATGAGGGGGAAGTTTTACAGGCTAATGTGTGCGAAGGAAAAGAAGCGTAGGCTAAAGAAATCGGTTGGCTCAACCAAACCCAAGCTAAACGACATAGCAGTTGGCTCTGTTGATACTCCGTCCCTGGTAACAGGCAAAATCCTCGTCATGTGCACCTGCTGCTCCTACAATGAGGATATGAAGTCGGGCGCCGCAGGCCGTTAACACTCCTCGTATCGATCAGGTCAGGTCAGGTCAGGTCAAAATCCTTGGACGATACAGGCTTCCGCCTAACGAGCGTCCAGCTTCTTGTACCGGTAAGCGAACCAGAGCCCCCGATACTTCGACTTTTGATCGCCTCTCCTTGCCTCTGCAGAAAGAAATGAAGCAAAAGCGAGAGCAATCTTTGCTTTTACAAGGATCAACATCGGATAACAATGCGAATAAATTGGATAGGATTATATTAATTCCGGAAAAATACGCGGCCAGCACCTGTCTAGGCCTGCTTTGAAGGCAACCACAGTCTCACAATCCATTAGTTCCGAAGGCAACTTATTCCAGTTGCGCACTACACGATTTGAGAAGAACTTAGCCCTGACGTTCAGTCTAGCTCTCTGTTGTTTGAGCTTCAAGCGATGTCCACGCAAGCGTTCAGAACCAGCCAGCTCAAATAAATCAGAGGGCACGATGGCACTGAAGCCCTTCATGATCTTAAATGTTTCTATCAGATCGCCTCTCAGTCTACGCCGTTCAAGGGAAAACAACCCCAGGCTCTTTAGGCGATCTTCATACGGCTTCCCCCGTTGACCTTCAACCATCCTGGTTGCTAGTCTTTGAATCTCCTCCAGGCAAAGAACATCATCACGGAGATAGGGCGACCAAGCTTGAACACAATACTCTAAGTGTGGCCTAACCACTGCTTTGTATAGTGGCAGGAACACTTCTGGCTTGGTATTACACAGAGCCCTCCTGATGAGCCCTCGATGCATTTACAGACAGTGGCATCATCTTTTGAAATATCGCTGGGTCCTCCGCGGCTCTTCCGAAAGATCGCATGCTTGACGACCTTTACTGGTTCGAACGTTGTGTTTCTATACTAATTCTACTCGGGTTTCCTGGTGTTACGATTAGGTAACTTACTAGACTCGGGAACGTATCGGATGACGATACAAAAAGTATGCTCCGTCTACTGCGCGTAATCCTGTCTGCACCGGAGGAGCGTCATACTCCTTTTATGTTTCACTTTAACTAAAGGTTTCCAGTGAGTATACAACCGGACCTACCCCTACCGAATAGAATAAAGCTTAAGGAAGCCATCAAAAACCTTTAAGCGCGTCGAGAAGCCGGCGAAAAAGGCTTATGTTTGGTGGATTTTCGAGTTGTGAGCTGGCGGTCCACTTCCGCTCTACCAGAACCCGTTCTGATAGCACACGACCCGGGGCTCACCATACCAGACGTGTCCACGTAATTCTCAGTAATGTACGTAGCCTGAAAAACAAGATGTGTGAAGTTGGTGCCTTAACAGACAACTCTCATCCTGAAGTACTCGCGTTCACTGAAACCTGGTCGTCTTCCGACGTCGTGGGTAGTGAATTGTACGCTTCGGGCAACGCACTACTGTGATCTGACCGCTCAGCTGATCGCCGCGGAGGTGGAGTTGCCCTGTACATCAGATATGTTGTAAACGTACCAAAAACACTTAACTCAGCTGCTAAAACTGTTGCAGCCCTTTAAAATTGTGTTGCCGTATAGGAACCCTGATGACGCTTTTAGGAATTTCCTTGACTTCACCCACCCTCACTGCGAACAGACGCTTGGTAATAATGGACTTCAACGTCCTGGAAGTCTACTGGCATAACCCATTTTATGAAGTAGCGGCCAAAGGGTTGGCTGCTGAAAATACTCTTTCACCAGTTTGTCTATCAGCCCCCTAGGTACATAGAGGGTTATGCTCCTTCTCTTTTGGACCTGGTTTTCGCAGTCGGTTGACTTTGAGAGATCTTGAGTATGGCCCCCCTTTAGGAGCCATGAATCATCTATGTTTGTCATCCAATTGTGCTCTCATTGGACTACGATTCACGCAGGCTCAGAAGTCCGGACATTTAGCATGCCAACTTTCAATCGATTAGGGTCAAGGCAGTAAGTTCTTCATGCATCATCTCGCTGGAAGATGATATACAGACGGCTTCAGGATACCTTTAAGTCCTTCCTCCCTAATATATCGTCCACATCCCGTTTTCGGTGAGGAAGATTGCAAAATCAAAGCCAACATGGTTGGACTTACTTGCACACCGGCTAATGATTAGATGCTAGCGGATCTACCAAGCAGCTCTCTTGGAATGTACTTTTCGGCGTTATCATGAAGCTCGAGATGTTTGCAAGTGTTATGTACGAGCTGTTAGACTTCTCTATGAAATGGAGCTGGCTAACTCAACCTCCTAACCTCAAACAATTCTTCGCTTCTGTTAAAAAACATAGTAACCTTGGCTCAGTGTTATTTAGCAGCGACGACGCCAGTGTCAACACTGATCACGAGAAAGTCTGTCTACTCAGTGCACAATATGCCGGGAATTTTATTCGGGAAGAGCAGTTTCCGCATGTTGACTTAAAAACGAGAGCTTCACAAGACCCCTGTTTAACTGACTTCTCAAATTCGGAGGCGCAAGTTCGCCATCTTCAGGGGCTAAATCCTAATAAATCCGCTGGGATGGATGACATTCACCCAAAGCTTCTCTACGAACTAGCTACCGAGCCAGATGGCCCAGTGGCACGTTTGTTTCAGTTATCGCTTCACAGTTACTGCTCGCCTAAAGACTGCATGGGTGCTATTGTCTGCCGGATTTTTGACAAGGGCGACAAACATTTCCCTACCACTTTTGTACCGGTTAGTTTGACAAGCGTACTGGTCAAGTTATTGGAGAAGTTAGAGATGCGATTGAAAACCATCTGCGGACGTTTGGTCTGCTCAGTCCACTTCAGTACGTTTTTCGCTAGGGTTACTCCTGCATGATTAATTTGCTAGTTGCACGCGAATGGTTCATTAGTTCTTTGGTGTGTAGTGAGCAGGAGGGAAGATTCTTGTCAGCTCCATCACTTCCAGTTCATTATGGGGTCAGTGCTTGTGTTTGCTAGTTGACGCGCCTCTGGCGGTACTCATCAGGTGGCAATCTAGCAGACGCTGAAAACGTTCCTTTGTCTGTGCATCAACTACGTTCTCTGATAAGCTGTTCTAGTCATTCATCATCCGGCTAAGTAGGGCAGCATCAGGCTGTAAAGCTTCCACTTGTAACCCCGAGTCCAATTATCCACTTTGAGTCGAAAGAGGTTTTGTAGGTCCATCCCAAATTCTCCCCCTCCTTTAGGATCCGTCTAGTGTAAATGAGACCCTCTCGACGGCGGCGATACTCCAGGGGGAACAAGTCAAGTTTCTTAAATCGAAGAGAGTAGCTGAGGTCGTGAAGCTCCGAGACGGATTTCGAGACACCTTTGAAACTTTTCTAACAAGGCACATTCATATTTCGAGGGGGGATAGACAGCTGGAAGGCCGTACTTCAGGATTAGGCGAACATGTGAAATAAACAAGGTTCTAAAGATCTCCGGCGAGATTCGTGTGAACGATCCACGTAGAGCACCCAGCATCCTGTTAGCAGCCGCGACGTTTAGTTTGTCCGCTGAGGTCTGAGGTCATGTGAAAGGATAAATTCAAGATCCTTCCCATAAGTGACCGTCATGAGAAGATAGCACCCGATGTGATATACACCGAACGGAACCAAATCCCCAATGGGCAGAAAGGCACATTTGTCACGGTTACTAGGGAGTTCCCACTTGACAGACCAATCATGCAACAGGTCAAGTGATGCTCGCTGCACGTCAGCCTTATCAACGCTGCATACTTCTAACCATAGTTTGAGGTCATCTGCATAGATTAGGCAGTCAGCTTGAATTGTCGCAGGAAGGTCGTTAATGTACAGCTGAAGAGTTTAAGCCCGAGGACAGAGCCCTGGGGAACGCCGCTAGTCATAGGCCCAGGGGCAGTGACGGTCTGGTTCATTTTCACTCGAATGGTCCGAGGTAGAAGGAAGTCTTCTATCCAAGATAATGCATTTCCACTGACTCCCATCCCCTGGAGTTTAAGCAGCAGTCGTTTATGTGTAACTTTATCTAAAGCCTCGCTGAAATCGATGTAGACAACATCTAGGTGTCGCCTCTCGTATACTGCTCTAGCCAATGCTTCTCTAGCAACAAACAAATTAGTTATGCAAGATCGTGCTCTGCGGAATCCATGCTGAGCGGGAGAGGGAACGCAAGTACTTTCACAGTGAACGTGTAGGACAAGCTTCAGAATTCTTTCCATGATCTTGCAAACGACACGTCAGGTATGTCGGCCGGTAGTTCGCAGGATCATGTCGGTTACCTTTATGTTTCGGCACTATGCCTACTTTCCGGTCAGATGGTAAGTCCATCTACGAGCGAGCGATGCAATACTTGGCATATTGGCTCAGCTATCATCATCATCATACACGTTAGCTAGAGGTGGGGAACACCTCAGC